ATTTTATATCCCAATGATAATAAACTTACCATTTTATACAGGGTGTCCACAAATTTAAACTAATCAAATAAGAACTTTAAGTGGCTATAATATAATAATAAGTGGTTGAATTTAAATCCAACCCCATATTTTTTAGCTTACCTGGAAATGCAATTTTTAATTACCTATCGAATGGTACCTTCTAGGAAGTTGATAACTAAATTTTTGCCTTTTTACAAAGCACACCAAATTATGATTCTGTGCACCGGTAGGCGTCGGACAATTCATAAAATAATACTTTTTAAAAATCAAACGGTTTAGCCGCAAACTTCCGTGCCGTAGAGCGTGAATAACCCTGTATATCTTCGACTACCAAATATTTCTATTTTACTTTAATCTAATGATTAACTATCAATCATCTAGAGATTTAAATGCCATAAGTATCAAATAATTGTTTTAAACTAAAGCGATAAATTTAATTGTAAGAATATGTAAATAAAAAGCATACCAGACCAAAAGATATCGAATTATACGTTGCGAGAATGCTCGGAATAAGTATTCTTTTCCCCTCTAGAGTAACACGGACAACGGCAGGAACTACTATGGACCTAAAACTTTATCACGAAAAACAAAAGTAAAGCGTTAACTTTCTTTCGTTACACAGCTATTGAAGCTAGTGAGTATTTCTAGCGACTAGTCACAGTTTTAAGTCATGCAACAAAACTTCAAATAAATTTGGAAAGGAATGGGTACATTCTACGATTGCAAAACATTTTCAGAAGTAATACATTCTGCAAAATATAGGCCTCCGTTTCAAGTACTAGGCATCGTATGATATAGATTGTTGGAAGTAAAAACAGATGCTGTTACCTTTCCTTGTATAACGAAAGCAGTAAAAATCCTGTAGTATATTATGAAGCGAGTTAATTGCCCAGTTAGTCCATGACTAATGTCCAGACATGCTTAGAAAACAATAAAATAATTTCAGTCGTGTAAAATAATACTCAACAGATAAGATCTAACTAAAAAGAAAATTAAAAAAATAATAGAATGTACAAACATAATTAAACTGGCACATGTTTGCATTAAAATTGATGAATAACAGTTGAGACACTTGATTGCCACTTAATCTTGGCTGTTTTTCATCAATTGTTAGACCTCTTTTAGAGAATATCCGCTCTGCTGGCACGGAAGTATCACCACGTTAGTTTTAGTATTATGGGTACCTAATGTGAACTAATACGAATGTTGGCGGCTTCGGTCGATTCTATCGATACGAAATGAACGAATCTCTTGGTACGAATCTTTGCTTGATACGAATCTGTGTGGTACGAGTCACTAAAAAGATTCGAATCGCACACCTCTAGTCCAAAACGGATCAACTCTATAATTTAATCAAAATATGAGTCTTATTTCAAACAAATTCACAGCGAGTTTTACTAAAATACATCGTACCATTCTCCCAATATTTCAAAAAATATTTTTTTTGAAGAACTTCGATAATCAATAGCAGAGGAGCCCGATATTTTTTTTCTTGGTTTTACTGAAGAGATACGATGACACACGCTGGTTGCGTTGTTTTAATGAATGGATAAATGAAGTCCCAATATATTTTCTTCTTGTAAAGCCTATTTGGATGATTTAACAGGTGTCGGAAACCGTTGAAATAAATTTTCTTTACTATATTTTAGGGTGGCATCTTTTTATTTAATACTTTTGTTGGCATCTTCATCACATGAAATAGATCGCAATTTGTTTGAATTAGATACTGTCAACAACGAACGCAAGCTTGATTTTTTTATCTTGTTAACAGCATACGTTACACAGAAGCTTTGTTGTGCCATTATACACGGCAGAATCTGAATCCCACCCATATGTTGTCATTATACAGGGAATCATCTTCCAGTGGCGGAGCAAACCACGTATTCATACTGCAAAGAATAAAACAGAAAAAAACTGTGTCAAATAAATCCAAATAAATAAAGAGAAAAATAATTTTCGGAATATGTTTAATTTAGGAAATATCAAACATAATACCTCCAAGTTTAATCTAAAAAGCGAGCAAGACAAATTGCTAATAAATGATTTAATAATTAAACTTGCTTAAAGTAATTACTGAAATTCCGCACTATAGGACTCTTCAAGTTAGGCTATTAAAACTTGAAGAATGATTTAAGTTAGTGGTAATTTTGTAGTAACGAGACGATTTTCTTAAGCTTTAAAGCCACGTTTAATCAGCATGAAACATATGCAAATATCAGTTGGTAACTTGTTTTATTTTATTCTGCCTGAGATGCGATTTGGTTCCATGTTTCCGCTTTAGATGTTAATCTAGCTCTGTGTAATCACCGTATTTAGTAGTGCATGCCATATATATGTTAGTGAGCTAGAGCCTATATATTTTCCTTCTTTGCAAATATTGCTACTTCATATGATAAAGCGCTAATTACTTTACGTCCTACGTAAATAGATCTAAATGCTGTTATTCGATCTACGACACTGAGGTAGCTCCTCCCTGTTCTGGCTTATTAAAAAGCCTCTCATAAAACACAACCAACGAAGATCGGCACTACAGGGGTGCACCAACCCCAATACATAGTTAGTAGACAATAAAATAATTCTATATTGCACCCGTTACTTTTGTATCTTTACAGATATACAATTGGGAAGAGATTTAATTGTACTCTATTGTGGTTTAAAAATTTGTTTGCCCATGTTTGAATACATAATAAGACGTGATGCTATAATGGGCTCTGGCCAAGTTCTGATATGCCGTAAGGTGAGACTATTTTAGTCAATTGATTCACACGATTTTGTGGTTTCAAGGGTATAGAAGGGACTGACATCCAGTCAT